AGTACTCAAATAATGTTCTGAACCAGACAAAGTATAAACCTGGGATTTGGGGGAACACTCAAACAATGCTCTGAACCTAGCAACAAGTATAAAACTGGGATTTGGGGGAGCACTCAAACAATGCTCTGAATCAGACAAAAAGTATAAAACTGGGATTTGGGGGAACACTCAAACAATGCTCTGAACCAGACAAAGTATAAACCTGGGATTTGGGGGAGCACTCAAACAATGCTCTGAACCAGACAAAGTATAAAACTGGGATTTGGGGGAGCACTCAAACAATGCTCTGAACCAGACAAAGTATAAACCTGGGATTTGGGGGAGCACTCAAACAATGCTCTGAATCAGACAAAAAGTATAAAACTGGGATTTGGGGGAGCACTCAAACAATGCTCTGAACCTGGCAACAAAATCTGGGATTTGGGGGAGCACTCAAACAATGCTCTGAACCAAAGTATAAACCTGGGATTTGGGGGAGCACTCAAACAATGCTCTGAACCAGGCAACAAAAACTGGGATTTGGGGGAACACTCAAACAATGCTCTGAACCAGGCAACAAAAACTGGGATTTGGGGGAACACTCAAACAATGCTCTGAACCTGGCAACAAAAACTGGGATTTGGGGAAGTACTCAAACAATGTTCTGAACCAGACAAAGTATAAACCTGGGATTTGGGGGAACACTTAAACAATGCTCTGAACCTAGCAACAAGTATAAAACTGGGATTTGGGGGAGCACTCAAACAATGCTCTGAATCAGACAAAAAGTATAAAACTGGGATTTGGGGGAGCGCTCAAACAATGCTCTGAACCAGACAAAAAGTATAAAACGGGGGATGGGGGAGCACTCAAACAATGCTCTGAACCTGGCAACAAAATCTGGGATTTGGGGGAGCACTCAAACAATGCTCTGAACCAAAGTATAAACCTGAGATTTGGGGGAGCACTCAAACAATGCTCTGAACCGGGCAACAAGTAATATGTTGGGAATATTGACTTAAATCCACTATGCCATTAGAAGAAATTCTGAATTCTACTGATACATTTAACATTTTTAGAGAGTTATGAAATATTCATCTAATCAGGCAGCATCAGAAACAATTCAGGAGATCAATGAATGCAAATTCTTACATATTTTATGAATTCAATGATATCCACCGGAAATGTACATTTATAATTACTCTCTCACTGTCTGTTTATTTAAGCCTTATAAATGGAGAATTGGCCTTTTTATACCTTTACCTGATGTGCAGGTGTTGTCTGCGATCCTCACTGTGAGATTTCATCCAATCGATCTGTCTCCTTGCAATTCCGTGTCATACAATTACTGCCACAATTTACTTAAGAGATGTGTTCTGCATAATTTCAAAAAGAATGCTTCACATTTCTATATTTTCTAGGAAATATATTTGAATTATGGGCAGAGACACCAATTTGCTATATCTTCAACAAAATTGAAAAAAAAAGCCCAAATTTTAAATCTACGAAAATGCACATTAAATGGGGCAATAAGGAATAACAAACCCTCCACGTGAAAAATCTCGTTTACATGGAAACAAACATACATACATTGTTACATAGTTACACAGTAGTCTAGGTTGAAAAAAGACTAAAGTCCAACAAGTTCAGCTGGGAAGATCCAAAAAAAAGGCAAAAAAACTACCAACCAAGCAATTGTAGCCGTTTCCAATTATGCCACAAAAAGATCGAAAAAAATCCTTCTTGGCTCCATAATGGCAATCAGATTTCATGTTGGATCAACAACCTGTTTCCAAACATATCAATTATATCCTTGAATATTCTGTCTGTGCAAAAAACATCCAAGGTCTTTAAAAAAAAAATATCTATAGAATCTGATAACACAACCTCTTCAGGCAGAGAATTCTACATATTTATTATTCTTTCTGTAAAGAACCCTTTCCTCTGCTGTAGGTGAAATGGCCTTTCTTCCAGTCTCAATGGGTGACCTCCAGTCTGTTGTATTTTCCTGCTAATGAACATGTTAGCACATATCGGTTTGTACTGACCCGGTATATAACTGGATAGTGCTATCATACCCCTTGAGGTGAGCCTCACCTCATAACTAATGTTTCCCATCCCCCCTTTTTACAACAGATTGCTTTTTTTAGCATAAGCACAATTTCATTTGTCTCCCACGTTGGAATTTGTGTGAGTCCCACCGATATTGGGGTACTGTGACGTAATTAATGTGAGTCCCACTGATATTGGGGTACTGTGATGTAATTAGTGT